AATGTGAAAACATACTGGCAATTTATTTACCCCACCTAACTCCAAAATTGTGACTTTGGCACGGGAGGAGAGCTCCTCTGGTTTTTCTTTTTTCATTGTACATAGATTATTATTATTATAGATTAACAATCTATAATAACAACCTATAGATTGTTAATTAGCAAGCCCTAAATGGAGAAAGAGCTGGGAACCTCAGAGCTATTGGATAAGTATATGGAATTTTTATTTCCAGGTACATCTCTCACTTTGTCAGAATCTCCATGCACCACCTGGACAATATCAATCTTGATCTTCAATTAAATTGTGTAATTCCTAAATCAACATAGGTCTTTCCCCAGGTTATAATAATAATCCTTGCATTTGATATTTCGCCTTATCACAACATCTAGACATCTCAAAGTGCTTCACAGAATATACTGTAAAGTGTGTTGACTGTATGTTTGTGGGCAAAACGCAGCAGCCAGTTGCTCACAGCAGTGTCCCACCAATAGTCGTGGATTAAGTGACCAAATTATTATTACTAATGAAGGTATTATTACCCTTGTAAAAGCGATACGCCAATCAACTAACAACCAGGCTCCTACTTACTGCGAGGTAAACAGAGGCGTGTGGAGTAAAGAAACTTGCCCAGGATTCGAACCCAGGTCCTCTCATTTGCGAGGAGAGTGCTGTAACGAATAAGTTGCAGGAATCCTATAGTACAACTACAATAAAAACATAAAGGAAATCAAACTAGGTTGAATGAATTCCTATTTGCCTCTTGTGTCTTTCTGCGGACATACATAATTACCATAGGAATTAACATTCACCTAATCTAATTGAACATAGAATTGGGATCTGAAAGTAATAGAATAGAAAAAATAAATATATAAATACATATTAGGAGTCCTGTAGTTCAGTGGTTAGAGAACTCCCTTTGCAAGCGAGAGACCTGAGTTGAATTCCAGACAGGGCGAAACCTTGGGCAAGTTTCCTTACTCCACACGCCTAATAATAATCCCTCCAAAAAAACAAAACAATAATAAATTGGTCATTTTCAATCTACGACTGTTTGTTGGACATTGCTCTGCACAATTGGCTGCCGCGTTCGCCCACAAATATACAGTCAATTCACTTTAGAATTAGGGTTAGGGGAGTGTGCTCTAACGAATTAGGGACGTCTAGAAGACGTGAAAAGCACTATATCAAATGCAAGGATTATTATTATTATTATTATAAGGTAGTTCAAAAGTGTATTGTTTGAAGCTACCTTATTATTATTATATTATTATAACTTTCATCAGCTCAGTAAGTCTGTTGGTTCAGTAAAACTATAAAGGAAATCAAACTAGTAGCAAACAGAGTAGATTCTACAATAAACAGGATGGAGAATTGGGACATATGGATAATGCGTAGCATGGGGACCAGTCTTGCATAAATTGAAAACTCTACCTCTCGTCCAAATGATCGGTTGCAATGAGTGACACATCCTGACTTAATATGATAATGACAAAAGAATGTCAGAGAGATTGACTGAAAACTGTTCTGTTGACAACATCTTTGAATATTAATTCCATCCCGGACTATACGTTTGCATGCACAAATTACTGTATTTTATTCAAGGCTGTTATAAAAGAGATCAAGGTCTAACTCCAAAGGCACATGGTTTTCTATTTTCTAAATACAAAGCAACTGTAAAAAAGTGATTAAACCTAGCATTGAATACAAATAAATGATAAGACGCTATATATAATAATCCTTGCATTTGATATAGCGCTTTTCACATCTTCTAGACGTCTCAAAGTGCTTCACAGAATATACTGTAAAGTGAATTGACTGTATATTTGTGGGTGAAACGCGGCAGCCAATTGCACAAAGCAGGTCCGACAAAGTCGCGAATTGAAGTGACCAAATTATTATTATTTTTTCTTGAGGGATTATTATCAGGCACCTGGAGTAAGGAAACATGCCTAAGGTTTCACCCTGCTGGGAAATCCAAGGATTATTATTATTATTAAGTTTTCAAGTAAGAATTTCTGCCCATTGTGGGTTAGTCAGTTAGTGAAACCAACTGCTAAAACAAATGAAGGTTCATTTACAGTTGAGAGAATATTTTACTTGACATCTTGATGCCTTACTAAACTTTTCTGAGGTGCATATAAATTAACTATATCTCTGAGTAGAAAAGGAAACCAGTTAATCAATTTTATCTGTTTGCACTTTATTGGGTTTTTTCAATTTTTTTTGATGAGGAGAGAAGAAAATATCAGAAGTTGTTGAAGGATGAGATAAAGCTTTTCAGAAATGCAACCTATCTTATCAAACCTTGCATCCATCTTCTTTTTGAGTAAGATAGTCACAAGAAGGAGCTTAGATTATTTTTTTTCACTCTGAGATGTTGTGTTTTGCAATGCCCTGCCAAGTAAGGTGGTTGAGGCAGAGTCCATTGTGTGATTCAAGAGCGAAGTAGATAGTTATATGAAGAATAGAAGCTTGAGGATATAGAGATAAGGCAGGGCTGTACAATTGAATGAATATCTGGTGCACACTCAATGGGCTAAATGGCCTCTTTCTTTGATGAGGCAGTCTTGACAGATCTTAATTGGAATTTTGAGCAGCAAATTTAGTTTGAGTGACAGGCTGATGTGGTCTTCAAATATGAACTGAAAGTGAGATTAGTGTTTAATACAAAAGCTACTGAGCTGAATCAGAATATTATTTTTAAATAATAGCGATAATTTGTGATGTAATCATTCCACTGCAGCTTTTGAAACCATATATTCTCTACCATGCAACATAAGGAAATTTCCCCTCCATGTTGGGAGATATAATCAAACCAAAAGCAATGGGAAAAAGCCTTTAAACTGCCAGATCTGCAATAATGCCTTACATTTATTGTGTCAGATAACGTTTAAACAAAAGTAAAAGCTCCACAATATTACTCCCAAACATGTCCTGAAGATTTCTTTCCATGCCATTAATTTTTCATCTTTGTCTCCCTCCCACTGCTTTTTTTCACTTCATTGCGTAAAGTGTATAAAATGCAGCAATCCTCCAGACAATGTGGCTCAAATTAGATCTGCTGTTCTAAAATCAGTCGCCCAAATCATTTGCAGTACCAGTGGTAGGTACACTATGGAGCAGTCTCTTCGCCAGAACTTCTCTATTTTCTCTCTGAGATCAGCTGAAACTTCTTCAGCCTCACGTTTACACTAGAGTCCCCTTTTCTATCAATTTGTTGGAGCTTAATGGTTATCATGGCAGAAAAAACTCAGCATGTGTCTTCTTATGCTCCCTGATATCTTTTAGATATGATGCCTGTTACTATGGCAACCTCTGCGGTTTGGGGTGAATACCTTCCTATCCTCAGAAGACCTCTGTATCAATCTTTGCAGCCTACAAACCAACTCCCTTCCTCTCTGTGGTTATTTAAGTCTAATGTAAGATGTTTTCTTCACAAGAGATGTTTGGACAATGAAAGCCCTTGGGCTCTTGTGATCTCATGCTCTGAGTTCTCATCTTCCCATTGCAGTACAAATTGATGTCTTAAACGTGTCCAGCTCTCAACTATCATTGCAGCTGTTGATTAGCCTTCGTGTGAACAAACATCTACTGGTATAGAGTCGAGAGCCTGTTAACCACACAAATTGGGACTAACCCCATTGTGGATTTGAAGACCATGCACGTACTAGGAAGTACAATGTAACCAATACTCACCAAAAATTTCCTTTACTGGAGTTACCTTGTCACTATTGACTACACAAACTATATGTTCCAATATTGCTCTTCGTAAACTAGATTATGTTCTCTGTAAATACTTGTGGCTATGTTTTCCTGCAAGAAGTGTCCATTACCAGCTCATCCTATTCTTACTAATAGGCCATTCAACACTTCTCCCACCAAGGATGAGTTTCTGAAAAAGTCTTGGACAGAATGAAATAATCTCATATCAGGCTCTGTAGAAAAAATTCTGTAGGTTGGAGCATGCGCTGACAATTCTTCTCCCCATAATGGAGTCTCCAGATCTCCATTTAGTGACCTGGTTTAAGAACAGATGAAATTCACCCAATGAACCAGCCAGGTGTGAACAATAGTCAAAAGGTGCAAATGTGAGAAGTACGAGACCAGTGCGACATTTCTGATGCTAAACATTACAATGCAAATTTATATTTATATATAGCATTTCACATCGGGAGAACGTCCCAATGACAACAACAACTTGCATTTATATAGAGCACTTCATGCAGGTTTGTGTCCCAGATCGCTTCATGGTGGCAGAGAACAGCGACAACCTGGGGGGAGGGGGAAGTAGTCATGGACGAATAGGAAGGTCTTCAGTCTTCAGGAAGATGGGAAAGGAAGGGGCAAGGCGGGGCGATAGAGGAAGAGTGTTCCAGAATTTCAGGGAGTAGTGATTGGAAGCGTGGTCACCAATGGTGGAAGAGAGGGCCCGAGGGACATACAGAAGGCTGGAGAAAGTCGAGCAGTGGCAGCAAGTTGTGGGTAAGCAAGTCGGAGAGGTAGGGTGGTAACAGAGCATGATGGGATTTGAAAACGAGTGTGAGGATCTCGAAATCAATCTGTTGGTGACAGGGTGCCTGTGGAGCCTGGCTAGAACTTGAAAAAGGTGTTCAACAATAATGGCTTGGCATTCAAGCTTGAGACATTATTCATAATCAAAGGAATGTTTAAAACCATGAAGATGTTGTGGTTTGGAATTTGCAACAGCTGCTGAACAAATCAGATTTTTAAAAAAAAATTATTTGAACTCTTCTTTGCGAGTTCAGAAATCATCAACGTTATCAAGTGTTGATACTGCACTCAAACAAGCAGACACTGGAAAATGCTTAAATTTTCTACCTTACGTGCAATTCAATGTTTTTTTGTGACACAGCAGGAGTCAAACCCACCACCATTTCCTGCAGATGAGATGGTACAGAATTTTTTTCTAAGGACTCTATGACTGACGTCTGAAACTGAGAAATACATGTAAATCAGAACGTCCTGTGGATGCTACTCACTCTGCTTTGCACAGTTGTTGCCAAGCTGTATGGTACTTCACTGCATTTTGATCTTCAGTATTAGTTTCCAGATCAGTAGAATCAATGTACTGCCAAGAAAAACAAATGAAAATTATACATAAATTAGTCATGATCTATGCTTTTGTCCACATCAAAATAAATCCTGTATATCAAAATGCTCCTGCAGTTTTTCTTCCTCATGGTTAAAGACGATTAAATTCAGTTTTTAAATAGATTTTCACCCAATAAATAACCATTTTTTTGTGTGGAAGTCAATCGGTAAAAATAACAAATTCACCAATCTTCTTCAGCATCAGAAACAGTGCACATGTGCATATTGGAAAAATTGCCCGCCTCCCTGCACAGCCAGTTTGGGAGCACAAAATGCAATGTAATTTACATTTATATAGCACCTTTCATGTCAGGAGGACATCTCAAAGCATTTACACAGTTGACTGAGCATCTGAGCAGGGGTGGGTGAAGATGATTGAAAACAGAGTCAGAGTTAAAGCAGGCTACAGCCCATTACCTCCGGACTCAATCCTCCTACACCATTAGCTCAATCTTCACGGGCCTGGCCTTGCGATGTGGCGTCCTTCAGGGCGCTCGACTTGGTCCTCTCCTTTTCAATATCTGTATGCTCCCCCTTGGTGACATCATCCACAGACATGGGGTCAACTTGCACATGTATGCGGATGACACGCAACTCTATCTCTCTGCCTCCACCCTAGATTCCAGGACCACTGCTGTCCTCACTGACTGCCTGTCGGACATCAAGTCCTGGATGAGAGCTAAATTCCTGCAGTTGAATGTCAACAAGACCGAGGCCCTCCTGCTTGGTTCCCGTCAGCACCTCAATACCTCAGGCGCTGGCAGCATCTCCCTCCATGGTTGCACTCTACATCTCATGGAGCCAATACAAAACCTCGGCGTCCTGTTCGACCCTCAACTATCCTTCATATCACACATCCATGCCATGACCTGCTCCGCCCTTCTCCACTGCCACAACATTGCCCGGCTCCGCCACTGTCTCACACCGCAGGCCGCCGAGACCCTCGTACACGCATTCATAACATCCAGGCTCGACTACGCAAACAACCTGCGCAAACATCCTGGTACTTACTTTTAAAGCCCTCCATGGCCTTGCTCCCCCCTACCTCTGCAACCTCCTAACCCCCTAGCAACCTGGCCCCTCCCTCCTCTCAGCGCGCTCCTGCCTGCTTCACGTCCCCCACCTCGCTCGCCCCACTATTGGCGGGCAGGCCTTCTGCCACTCTGCCCCCACCTTCTAGAACTCCATCCCGCAGTCCCATCGCCTCGCCTCCTCCCTTGCTTTTTTCAAGACCATCCTCTTTGACTGTGTCTTCAGTCACCTTCCTTCCCCCCACCCAGTTCTCTTCTGTTTTTTACATTAAAAAAAATTCCCTCTCCCACCCCAAACAATTGTGTAAATAAAAATGATGGCCCTTAACGATAGTTCAAAGGTATGAAGAAATCAAATGGAAAAACATATTTTAGCACTGAATGTGTTACGTAGACAGGAAAAATAATTTATTCTACTTCTATTTATTTTTATTTCTAATTTATTGAAAATATGGACACTTTTTAATGTGCATATTTTTCACACTTCGCAAAACTTTACAAACAAGTAGATCATTCTCAAATAGTAGAATTATTTGAGGATTATGTACTTCTTTGAAAGGTAAAACCACTCATGGTTTTATAATATCAATGAATCAATTTTATTAGCGAGAAATTTATTTTGCACTGCAAGAATGTCACAAGTTAATGGGGAGTGGGAGAAGGGGAGACAGAGATCAAAGGATATACATTTTATATAAAATATAAAGATCAAAGAGAAATCCTCAAGCTTAAAATTAAATTTGAAGTTTGATGACATTATTGGCATAGACCATTATTAATTGATTTGTATTTTGGTATCAAGACTGCATTCCAAAAATAATATTTTTCCAAATCAACTGCTGACAACTTCTCTATAAATCATAGTTATTTCATGTCACGTACTATGATTGACAGTGTGGGAATACCATCAAAAACTAGGATATTGACCTAGGAAATAACTGACTAAAAACAAATGAATCCTGCATTGACAATTAGAATTTTTTTTAGAGAGAGAAGAAAATGAAAGGGGTAAAATTAAAAGGTTGCATATTCTAGATTTCCAAAGGGTTACTCAAATGAATATCTGTGCCTATGTAATATTGAGAACCTTTCTCCTTGTCTACAACACCTCCAGGGTGCTACTACTCTAACACCCTGCTTGTTGGACTCCCCAGCTCTTCCCTATACAAGCTGCAGAACATCTATAATTCTGCGGCATGTGTCCTCTCCTACACCAGGCTCCACAAATCTCTCCCCTATACCAATTCAATTCCACTGGCTCCCCATCCACCAGTGGATCGAATTCAACATTCTTGCCTAACTTTCAATTGCCTCTAAGACCTTATCCCACCCAACCTCTGCAACCTCCCTGTTTTCCTGGCCCTGCTTCCCTCTGCTCTATAAAGACTGATCTGCTTCACGTCCCCTATCGACTCCGCCCCACCATCAGTGGGTCTGCTTTCTGCCTCTCTACCCTCTCTCAGATAAATTGCATCCAAATGATTCATTTGACAATCACAATCACTACAATGAGAGAACACAGCTTCAATCAAGAGAGAAAATGGTGAACATTTTAGATTACACAGAGAGTGCTGAACGCACAGATTATCTGGGACAGACTATCCAAATGACTGTAAATTAGACAAGAGGGAGATACATGCTAAATAATTGTTAAGGGTTATAAGAAATGTGTAATGAGGTTGCGTGGTATTTTCAAAATGGTCCTCTAGATTCCTATATAGGCTATGAATGAATATCCATAGTTGAATGAATTCAACGGATTTATCCGGAAACACTTTTCTTTAATAATAATGTTTACATTTGGAATTGCACTTTTCATGTTTTGAGGACATCTCAAAGTGCTTCACAGGATATACTGTACAGTGGAGTAACTGTGTGTTTCATGGGCAAACATGGCCCAGCAATGTCCCACAAACAGACATGAAGTGAATAACTCATTTTACTACTGTCCAGGACACCAGGAGAAACTCAGTTCCCTTTTGACAAATGCCAATGGGATCTTTAATCATACAGGCAGATGTCTAACATCTTATCTGAAGAATGACACTTCTATCAATGCAGCACATCCCCAGCATTGCATTGAAGTGTCAGCTTAGACAAGATGAGTTCCAAGTTCCGACATAGCAATGCAGTAAAGTCCCAGCTCTCCTGCAAACGCTACGGGTGAGAACAAGAACAACAAAATTACATTTGTACAGCACCTTTTATGTCGGGAGGACGTCCCAAGGCGCTGAACAATCAGTATTTCGAACCCGAGCTGGGCGTCGGGATCGGGGAGGGTGGGGGGCAGGGGCGGAAGGAGGGTGACTGAAGGCACGGTTGAAGACGAGGGTCGAAGAGAAGAAAGGCGGTGAACAAATATCTTAAAAATGAACAACCTGAAAATATTTTAAAAATTGATAAATAATGATAATATTCGAATATGTTCTAGCTCAGTACAAAAAACAGGGCTTTATCAGATGCAACCATCCCATAGGATTTAATTAACATGATTTTTTGTTGCTATGTACAATTCAGCATTGGACTGCTCTTTTGTTGAGAAAAGCTGTAAGATTGATAAAGTGATTCTAAGCAATTGTGTTCCCAGTAGGATAATGTTCGTGCTTTCTGAATTATTAATGCCATGTCAATATTCAGATATTTCATTCTGGAGAGACAAAGAAAAATTCCCAACGTGGTTTAGATGTAAAAAACATTGTTTTTAAAAAAAATCTTCAGTTCAAAATTATGACTTTTACTTATGCTCCAATCTGATTTCATTCAACAAGACTCCTTTCCTCTTTTCTTTTTGCAAGATTATTTTTGTATTTTCTTCTCTTTTCCTCTTAAGTGTCTCCCCATTTAAAGCACCTGCAAAGATTTGATATGCAATACGTTTTCCCCAAGGTTTTGCCAATGCAGCTCTTGGCCTCTCAAAGGCGATCCTGTTTGACACTCTGTTTGATGTTTCAGTTAAACAGGATATGAAATGTTGCATGCTGAATATATATCTATAAATTAGAAATGAAATACTGAAAAAAATGTTTGAATTCAAAAGCAGTATCAATTATATTAGAAGAGATAGAAAGAAGCAATGACAGAAAGAGACAGTTTGTTAACATAATTTGGAAGGAGGATGCAGAATAACAAGTTGAAGGGAATTTGAGAGAGTTTCAGAGAGCAAAGGCAAGTGCATATTGGCTGAATATTCATATACTGATATTGGGATGAAAGATGTGAAAAAGCAACGGTAGACCAATTTGGAGAGAATGGAGAAAATGAAGAGAATAGGGCTGGAAGAAACTACAAAGGAGAAAAGTCATAAAAGAATTTCAAGGTCAGGAGGAGCATTGTGAAAGGCCACCCATTTGGATTCTGGGAGCCTGTTGCAGGAGAGAAAATGGACTGTAGAGGTTTGAATGAATTGGAGCTTATGAAGGATATAACTGGAGTGCTGGAGAAATTTAGCCTTAAAGTGATAAAAGCATATGAGGGTTTCAGCTGCTGGGGACATTAAATGCAAGAATTATTTTATTTATTTATTTTTGAATACTGTCTGCTTAAAGGAAATAAATGGATCTCAAAACTTGATGAACTAAACACAAAACATATATTTTCTGGTAAGCTGTTCCAATCATTAATTAAATAAATACTTCCTTGTGTCTGTCCTGAAATTCCCCTTTGCAACCCTGTGCCTGTGTACTCCAGCACATGAAAAATAAATGACTAATAACTGAAGTGAATTTGACACTACACACTATTTGCAAGAAAAGCTAAGTACACTCAAATCTATGTTGTATCTTTCACACAAAAATCAATTCAATTATATATAATTAAAAATATGTATTTTTTCTTCCAACACATTTAGTGATGTACAATAACGAAAAAGGAGGCGAAAAGTCACAAAATAATTTTAAGTTCAGGAGGAGCACCTTTTATACGATGGAACTCAGCCAGGAATATAGTAAAACAGGAATGGACGGAGGCCATTCAACCCATCAAATCTGTTTCCACCAGTTTATTAGATCTTGACAAGTCTTTTTATTCCAAATGCCCCACCCTTTCACTTTTCTTTTGGTCAGCTGGGTGTCTGACACATGTGGAAACTCATCATCACGCTTAAGACTATCCAAACAAAGCTGAGGTTTCCATGCATCCCACTTACACATGGAAATCTCAGAGATAGATTGTTGGAATGGTATGCACACTCTCCCCCTGGAAGGACGCATCCTGCTTACTTAATTCCGGAAAGTATTAGGTGCAGGTTGGCAAAAATCAAGGCTTGGGACCCCAGGATGTGCGTTGGGGGACCCCTGAAGCTAACTAGCAAAAACCGCATAGCTTGCCATTGATACTGCTGCCCGGGAAGCTTTCCTATTGCTTGTCCAGCTTGGACCACTATACCCGTTAGGGCTGTGGTTTGCAGGGTTAACAGGAGCTGAGTGGGTTGACTCCCTGCTCTCAGTGACTGGTCTGCCCTTCCAGGTCTGCCAATGAGCCAGGCTGGGCTGTGCTGTCATCAGCAGTGCCCTGGAATACTGCGGACTCAGCTGGTTTATGAACCAGACTACGGAGATCCCCACAAAGAGCTCGATTCTGGCATTACATTGCCAAGCACGTCACCTTGCAGCCAGTTCAGCATCCAAGGTGACCCCGCTTACCTCCCCCACACCCCCTGTTTCACCATGTGGTTAATGCCTCCCCTATCCAAGTATCTGTCTATGTTTTAAAAATCCCAATTGATTCTTCCTCCCCAGTTTTCTGGGACCGAGGATTCCATATCTTCACAAAACCCTGTTACAAAAAACTTCCTTATTAATTTCTAACCCTCCTGGTTGTAATGTTAAGGTTTTGTCTTCTTGTAATGGAGCCAGCCAGTGGTGTTGTGATTCATCGCTGGAAACTGGATTTTTAATGTCCTCCAAAATCGTTCTCACTCAAATCTAAATAGATATCTGCAAATGTACAGCAAAGCCAATGTGTTAAACTGCACCAACCATTTCTTTTAATTATTTAAGAGCAGAAAGTAAGACCAACTCTTTAGTGGCATTTAAAACAGGACATTCCAATGGACTAACCAGAAATCTTTAAATTTATTAATTTTTAATCACAGACAAGTTAACTTTCTTGTCCATCCCACGATCCCTTTGCCTCGCTTCCTCCCTTGCCTCCTTTAAGGCCGGTCTCAAGACCCTTCTCTTCAACCATGCCTTTGGTCTCCCTCCCACCTCTCTGCCTTCCCTCACCCCTACACCATCCCTCCCCCATGCTCGGGCTCCGATACCTGACGGTCCAGCGCTTTGGGACATCTTCCCGACGTGAAAGGCACTCTATAAATGTGATTTTGTTGTTGTTCTTTTTGTTGCATAGCCACCAAAGATGATCTTCCATTCTTAATCTGTAGTTGATGATTTATGTATTCCTAGATTCAGTCAACCTCTTGCCTCTATGGTTTGGTTTAAACCCTCTCCCTCCCAACTTCACCAATGCCCCTCTGAAATTGTTATTATTTCTGATGTGTTGATTAACTGTTCAAAATGGTGGCTGCAACGCAAACGAAAAGAAAAACAAATCCGCCAGCAGCACAATATCGTCAGAAAACATAAGGCCACTCAGTGGGACATGGTAGTGAGTGCCCCCGAGTTCAAAATTATGGATCTGCGCAGCTTAAGAGAAGATATTGATTAGAAGATACCAGGGGCAAGAGTCTCAATTGTTGATGTCAAAGGCAGCCTCATAACCTGAAAGTCAAGACCTTTTTAGTGCACGGGAAGCCAAAATGTCTAACTTCCAGGTCATCAGTTTGTTGCTGACAGACGAGATGTTGGCAGCGAACTGATGATCCTCAAGTTGGACATTTTTAGCAAGCAAAAAGCCAGGCAGCATCTTGAAGATGAGCCAGACAGCTTTCTATCACAATTTGAATTTTTTTGGTAAGTAAACATTGGGGTGCCCACGTTTATAATGAAATGGCTTATAAAGGCATTCTACAACAACAACATGCAGTTATATAGCGCCCTCTCAGAGCTCTTAACAGTGGCGGAACTAGACTCCAAGCCTGGGGTGATGGGGAGGTGGCCATAAGCACGGCCGAAGAGGAAGATTTTCAGGCGGAACTTGAAAACGGGGAGAGAGGGAGCAAGGCGGAGGGATTGAGCGAGAGTGTTCCAAAGTTTCGGGGCGTAGTGACTGAAAGCTTGGCTGATGATGGGGCGGAGGATGGGAGGGACGAGCAGGAGGCCGGTGCCAGTCGAGTTGAGGCGCCCGCTGGTGGATTGGGGAGTGAGGAGGTCGGAGAAGTAGGGAGGTGCCAGGGAGTGAAGGGATTTAAATACGAGTGTGAAGATCTTGAAGTCGATCCGTTTGGTGATGGGGAGCCAGTGGAGTCTGGCCAGAAACTGGTGAAATGTGGGTACAGAGTTTGGTTCGAATAAGTATGCGGGCAGCAGAGTTCTGAATGAGCTGGATCTTTTGAATAGTGGAGCTGGGGAGACAGGTGATGAGTGTGTTTGAGTAATTCAAGCGGCAGGTGACAAACTCACACGCGAGGGTTTCGGCTGCTTTTGGGGTAATGTACAGTCTAAGGCGGGCAATGTGGCAGAGGTGGAAGAAGGCAGTCCTGGTCAGGGACCGGATGTGGGGGAGGAAGGACAGCTGAGGGTTGAACTGGATGCCTAGATTGCGCGCTGGTTCAGTGAGTGTGAGGGAGAGCCCAGGGAGGTTGAGGAGTTCAGATCCGCAGGAGTGAAGACGTTGATGGGAGCCAAGGAATATGGCTTCCGTCATGTCCACATTCAGCTGCAGGAAGTTTGCACTCATCCAGGCCTTCATGTCTGCCAGACAAGCTGATAGAACATTGGTACTGGAGAAGGCAAAATAGATTTGTGTGTCATCCGCATACATATGGAGGTTGACCCCGTGTCTGCAGATGACATCGCCTGGAGGGAGCATATAGATAAGGCAAAGAAGAGGGCCAAGAATAAAGCCCTGGGGTACCCCACAGGTGACCGGGCGGGATCCGGGGAGAAGCCATTTGCCGAGATGAAATGGAGGTGGTTGGTTACGTAGGACTCGAACCATGTGAGTGCAGTCTCACTGAGGTTGATGAGGGAGGAGAGGTGGTGGAGGAGGATGGCGCGGTCGACTGTGTCGAACGCAGCAGAGAGATCCAGGAGGACGAGTAGCCAGAGGGAGCCCTGGTCACAGATAGAGAGGATGTTGTTTGTGACTCTGACAAGCGCTACAAGCAGACACAATTTTACTGTACTCAACATCTTCAGATTTGTTTCCTTACCATTAGATGCAGTTTACGATTTATCGCTATTGCCGCATGTTCTAAAGCTTTGATGACAGATGCATAAGAATCACTCAGTTTAGTGTATTTCCCAACTAGTGCAATGGAACAGGTTTCGAGTAAGCGCTCGTACCTAGGAAGGAAGAAATTTTTCATCTTGTAAAGTAGGTTAGAATTTCATGGTGAAAATAAACATTCGAAATAGTACATATTCACTTTGTCTAAGGTTTCATATCTCTTACTTTTATAAGGGAAACACCAAGCTTTGAACCATTTTACCTTCAATTTTTTTTTTATTTTGAACAATTCTGCTTTGCCAAGGAGACAAATCTAAGCACAGACCAGTTAGAAAATGCATGGATGAATGGAATAGCTCCTCTCAATTAGCATCCCAACTCCCACTGGCAAACTGAGAACAGGAATGAGCAATAAGGAGGCAGACTGGGCAGAAAACCAACAGGAAGGTACAAGCTTCTGAAGGGCAACTCAATGCGAAGGACAGAATCTCAGAAGCACAGCATAGTAGAAAATAAACAAAATAGATCTCGAATTGTTTGAATACCAGGATTTAAATAATTAGTCAAGATCCTCACTCTCCTGATAAATAATGGTCAAAGCTAAATTGCACAGGTTAACTTCACGGATGTGGGGTACCCTTCAGGAATTTTATTTTTCGCCCCAAGATGCATTTTTGACCATGTTAAAAATGATTTCCATGTTTCAGATTAGCGCATTTTCAACCCCACATTTTCAATGTGGCATTCACACATTATTAGTTAAAAGTTAAGTAAAACTTACAGAATATTTGTTGAAAGGCATAGAGTCAAAAACGTTTATCTTTAGCTCTGTTCATATCTAAATATATTTTTTAAAAAACTCTATTTACTTTATCTTTTCTGTAATCTTTTTGAAATTTAACTATCTTCCTCTTTCGGCCATGCATCATGATTCATAAAGAGAGTCAGCTGGTGATCTGTTTCCAAGCCTGTCAATGTTCTGAACCTCTCTATGAAGTTTTAATAGTGTCCATTTGGCAACATCTGGTCAGTATTCACTCCTAGTTTCATGGTCCAGATCAGGGATTATAATGTCACATTTTGCGATATGATCTTGCATCCCACTTGTCCACAATACAATGTGTTAGGAACATTCGACCAATCCTCAATGTTAATTGTTTAATGTCTCCCAATTATGATATTTGGTCTGTAGACAAAAGAAGCTAAATAAAATAATTTTGAGTTGACACAATTATTTTGTTTTTTTTATTCCCTATAAATCTTGTTTTTTTTCAAAAAATAAAAGAAGCGAGATCCAGTTGTGAAGCTACATGTATAAAAATAGGCCAAGCGTTCCTAACCTCCGCAAGAATGAGCATTAGTTGAAAGAAAAATTCACTAACAAGGATAAAAAAACGACTTATTTGATACCTGTCTGCCATTTCTTTCCAATCAGCAAGGATTATTTTGGGCCTCTTTTCAATGGGTAGCTCCAATCTTTCATAAATATACTCTACGACACCTTGTTGCTCCAACAGGAGAGGTACTCGATATGTAGAAGAAAGATCATGTACAAATATGACCTGCAAGAAAAAAAACGTAAGCACTCTAACATTATACCATGTAGCATATGAATTTTGACAACAAGAACAACTCAAAGTCCTCAAGGGCTTACCAGATTTGCTAGTTTTCTCTCATCATCACAATGGAGAAGATGAAAAGCACCTTTGTTTTATTAATCAAAATGCCCAAATGAATGTGAAAATGCAGAATGAATTACCTGGATTTGCTAACCACTGTTTCATCATATCAACTGGCTTAACTTCACAATCTACCCTGCTTTTGTTAGGGCAGAGCTCTCCAGAGTCACCAAGTTCGCTCTACTGGATTACTGTCAGGAGTCATTTTGAGTGAATCCCACATGTTCAGCCCACATGCATAACTGCATTTTGATGGAAATATATAAATAATAAAGGAGATTCAGAAAGCCTGAACCATGTTTTGAGAATTGACACTTACCTGTTCTGGGTCTACATGACAAAACATTGAGATCTTTTCTTTCACTGGTTTCTCGATAGGTTTGGAACTCCTACAGACAATCTGTGGAGAAGAGAAAAAAAAGTATTTTTAGTATCCACAGGGAACAGCAATTTATCAGAGTCTGTGAGATACTACATAGAGGCAAATTTTATACAGAAATCTTTTTCAGTGCATTAATAATAATAAAAATAATCCTTGCATTTGATATAGTGCTTTTCATGTCTTCTAGACGTTTCAAAGCACTTCACAGAATAGACTGTAAACTGAATTGACTGTATATTTGAGGGTGAAATGGAGATGCATACTCTAATGTAATGTAAAGTGTAATGTAATTCACTTTACATTACATTAGAGTATGCATTCTTCAAAAAAACCTGTCTATTTGGCAAAAATAATTGATCTGAATTGGGAATTTGACATTATAATAATAATAAGAATCCTTGCATTTGATATTTGACTGTATATTTGTGGGCGAACGCGGCAGCCAATTGCGCACAGCAATGTCCCACAAACAGTCGTAGATTGAAAATGACCAATTTATTATTGTTTTTTTTTTGGAGGGATAGGTACTAATGTTAAACTGCAAGATTTAAGACTATGACTCCAGAATCATAGAATAATAATGGTTCTAGTCACTATAACATTGCACCCAACATAATTTTGATTCCATTGCGACTTAAGGGCGAAACCTTGGGCAAGTTTCCTTACTCCACACAGAGCCTAATAATAATCCCTCCAAAACCAAAAAAAACAATAATAAATTGGTCATTTTCAATCTACGACTGTTTGTGGGACATTGCTGTGCGCAATTGGCTGCCGCGTTCACCCACAAATATACAGTCAATTCACTTTACAGTGTGTTCTGTAAAGCGCTTTGGGACGTCTTCCCGACGTGAAAAGCGCTATATCAAATGCAAGGATTATTATTATTATTATTATTATCCTGATTCAGTTGGTAGCACTCTCGCCTCTGAGTCAGAAGATTGTGGGTTCAAGTCCCTGTGTCGGGATATGGGATCACATAGTCTAAGCTGACACTCCAATGCAGTGCTGGGAGTGTGTTTCATTGTTGGAGGTGCCATTTTTCGCATGACTTGTTAAACCAAGGTCTCATCTGCCTGCTTAGGTGCATATTAAAGATCCCGTGAACTATTCAAAAAGGGGAGTTTCTCCCGTTATTCTGGCCATTCTCCCAAATTAAAAAAAAATGTGGTCACTTACTCCATGGCTGTGTGTGGGACACTGCTTTGTGCAACTGGCTGCTATGTTTTGCCCAAAAGTACACAGTCAATTCACTTTACAGTATATCCTGTGAAGCGCTTTGAGACATCGCAATGATGTGATCAGGCGCTATACCAAATGCAAGAGTTATTAGTCAATCTGGTCCAGCGCGTATCGGCACATCTGTAATGAGTTCCCTCCATTTATTTTGCATGCTTTAACATCTGTCAACTATTTGTGTGATGTTCAACACCAAGACCAAGAATAAACATCCTACTTTTGTCCCTTTTCATATCAGAAATGTTCCGACTGTAACTAAGAACGACAGTAATTGGAGCCAATCTGAATAACTGTCAATAGCAATGTAATACATTATCATGTATTACTGTTACTGAAAAATAAAGTGTTTCTCCCCACCACCCCTTCCAATTCTTACATATTATACAGGAAGCCAACTTTACACTTACTTTAGTTTCACAATCACTTCTGTGTTTTGATCTTTTGAACCGCTGGTTGGGAACACGCTCTAATCGATTGACAACTTGAAGGTGGTCAGTGAGCTTTGGCAGTATTCCTTATTGATATAGTGGGACCCCGTTTTCAGCACCACAATATTACTTTATGAACCCCAACCATTGTATTATAATGAAGTTGAAGTGTACAGATAAAATGTCAGGCTAAGAAAACTGTTTCAGCCTTAGAAATAAGTAGTTGTTCATTCTGGATATCACTGAGTAATTAATATGCGAAGGTTATGACATTCCCGTGTACCATTCAGTTAAATAAATTCTAACATCACAGTTTGCCATATCACAGCACACACATGTAAAGCCTGTTGTTCACTTGACAGCCTTATCAATAATAGAAGACAGCAAGAAATCATTATGTTTCTGTATATCAAGATTTTACACTTTGAGCCTTGGATCTTCTTTCAACCTTATCTATTGATGTGCAGCCTTTCCAGATAATTACCACTTTTGTTGGCTGCAATACATTTAACGTGTTAAAAAGCTTAAAGGTCTATTTTTCTTTTCTTTCAACTATGTGTCTTATGGTTTCAAGAAAAATGGAAAAAAAAGTGAAATAAAATATTACTGAAGGATAACAAAAGAAGCGGAGAATATTCTCTTATCGAAAAAATCTTGTTAAGGCCCTAAAGTAAAAACTAGATTAAATTCTCATTTTAAAAATAAATCTACTGTATTAAATTGGCCACAAGGTTAGATTTCAATACTGGGAAAAAGACATAATAATAATCATAATAATCATAATAATAATCCTTGCATCTGATATAGCATCTTATCATGTTGTCAAAATGTCTCAAAGCTCTTCGCGTGATTTGCTTTAAAGTTCATTGACTGTATTTTGTGCAATTTTGTGCACACAATGCCCCACAAACAGCCATGCTCATCTCTCGCACCCTCCGCCCCATTGGAGGTTGCGCTTTCAGCCACTATGCCCCAAAACTCTGGAACACTCTCCCTCAATCCCTCCGCTTCGCCCCCCCCTCTCCCCTCTTTCAAGTCCCACCTGAAAACTTTCCTCTTCGACCATGCGTAGAGCCACCTCTGCCCTCCCCCCTGCTCGGAGTCAGGCTCTGCCATTTTTAAGTGCTTTGAGACGCTACCCTTCATGGAGGACTCTATATAAGTGCAAGTTGTTGTTGTTGTTGTTAAAAGACCAATTTAATCTGGGGGAGTGTTGGCCAGGTCAATGGGAAAGATTCTTTCCTGCAAAAATGACACTCCAATAGGAAACTGAAGCATAAGTGGTGCTCCACAATGGAAAAAAGTGCCTCAGGACATAAAATCATATCCTACAGGAAACCTCATTTACAACACATTGACTTGCAAGACCTAAGCTCCAACTTGAGATCACCTTGGAGCCAAATTCTCTTGGTTTGGCAATTTCATGAGTCTACACCTTGACTCAGAGCAGTAGTTAGTTACATCAAAAGGAAGGATGCCAATGGTGAAGAGTGGAAAGTGTGCCAGGATCAAATCTTCACACCTCAGTTATAATACAGGTTGGATGCAGCATAAAGCTAGATTACACCATTAGTGCTACCACCTTCCCATCGCTATCTCTCATGAGGTTGTATCAGGTACAAGTCCAGAGGCAGTGTGAGAGTGACGCAAAAAGACCCAGAGCAGGAGGAAAGGGTGCAATACTTAATAATAACACCTAAAGGCCCCTGTGTTTGGGAGGTGCAGTAAAGAGGAACAAATGGGAAGAAAGTCACCTCAGACCAATCTCATGATTTTAGTGTTGCATTGGCAGAGGCTTGAGCAGCAGTTTGCTAATCTTTCCTTCCTACTGTCTAGGCAGTTAAACCCAACTGGAGTAAAATAGAAACATAAAGAGAGGGGTGGGGATGGGGGAGAAGGTCTCATCATAATGTGATGTGTGTGAATTTATGAATCAAATATAACTTTAGTTCAGACATGCTGTAAGCCATTTAAATGTTGGGTGATTTCATTGTGGTTATTGTGTTGCTTATTTTTAAAACTTAACAGAATTATAGAATAGAATTATATAGCACAGAAGGAGGCCATTCGGCCCATAGTGTCCGTGCCAGCTCTTGAAAGAGCTGCCCAAATGAATTCCACTCCCCCACTCTCTCCCCATAGCCTTTCAAATTTGTCCTCCCAAAATATCTACCACTTGTCTTTTGAAAGTTGTTATCGAATCTGCTTCCACCACCTTTTCAGACAGTGCATTCCAGATCCGAATAACTCACTGTGTGAAAAAAAATTCACCTCATCTCCCCTCTGGTTCTTTTGACAACTATCTTAAATAGTAATTGACATTTTAATCATAGTAATTGACATTTTAAGCAATCTGTCCGATGAGATACTCATTTTATTTGAAAAACATTCCGGCAGTAAAGCGATTAGAAAAAGGAAACAGGATTTACATTTCCCACTTCAAAATGGCATTTGCCTGGGGCTCAATGTACGTAACTAACTGGATCCAAACACTAACTGCAGCTATGTGAACCACCTTTCAACTGAAACTACTTCCTCAAAGAGGTTTAAGCAGGCAGTCTCCACTGCAATTTACTTTAATACAAAAACACCCAAACATGATTTAATAATCCTTGCATTTGGTACAGTGCCTTACCACATCAAAACATCTCAAATTGCTTCAGAGTTTGCTACAAAATGCTTTTGAAGACAAACATAATGTGATTTCAGCAAAGATTCAACACAGAAAGTGCAAGATAAATGCGACATCAGGGATTGAATCGGCACTGGCCGTCAGATTCTTATTATTCTGTTCTGCACTAAACAACAAAATTGACAGAAATTGAAAAAAGGCTTTTTTTGGTCACCCGGGTGTCCAACACACTTGCAAATTCATCACCATGTTTAAGAGCATCCAAACCAGACAGAGTTCCACATATGTATTCCACCTACAAAAAAAATCAAGTATATCTTCTGAATTAATTTACAATTTTTTTGAATTCTTTTATTGGTTTATTTCATAGAGGTACATAAAATTCAAGAACTTAATTGCACGAATCAAAGAAGGGAAGTATGTAGTCAACAATTTTAGCATGTAACATCTGAATGTTTTTGTGGGTGAGCTGAGGTTTGAGCCACTTTGAACTACACTTCTGGCTTGCACACATCAAAATCTACTGTACTCAGCCAGTTTTTCCACAGTTGACACAACAATGCATATTTTGGGTGGAAAAGCTATGTGCTGGGGAGTACAATGTAGAAAGGAAATTTTCCTAAATTTTGCTGCTAACATTTTACACTACATGTTTGCGTGAGGAAAAAATGGCTGTATGAAACTAAGACAAAAAATCTCTGCAGTATACTTCTAATTTTCTCTTTGACCGAGCCTTCGGCTCCCCTCTCGACTCTCTACCCCCTCCTCGCTCCCTCCCTTTCCTCCCCTCACCCTGACCATTTCCCCCTGCTCGGGTCCTGACCCAACTGTACAGCGCTTTGGGAAGTCCTCCTGACGTGAAAGGCGCTCTATAAATGGAATCTTGTTGTTGTTGTAATTAATCTGCTGTAATATAGCGTCCACAAAATGGTGTTCATTACAAATATCTTAAAATGTGATTGTCTACATGTGGGTGTGGGAAATAACTCAGTATACAACTTTGTGGATTACCTTATAAAAGCAAATCGGCAGAGAAAATGGTTTTTGACACATCATTAAGTTTGACACATTTACGACTGTGTACTCAGCAAAGTCAGTTCAATATCACTTCAGTATTAACACTCAAAAGTAATTGACAGTAATGACTCTGACCATTTCATCAAAATTAGGCAGAGGATCAGCAGTTTGGGCTTTACCCCAGCACTTGTATAAATTCAATTTACAAAATGGGCTGAATAATATTCTAGGGTTCTGTAATAATGTATCCTAGAATTATCTTAATATTTATGTAATTGCGTATTTTCAATATATGAATAAAAGACAAATTCTTTAGTTGTGTATTCTTTGGCTAGCACCAACCTATGTTGCCGTACAACAGCAACAATTTGCATTTATATAGCTCCCTTCATGTGGGGGAGCATCCCAGAGCGCTCTACAGTGAGATGGTGCAGAGTTAGGTTACTAATCTCAGCAATTCTGATGCAGAGATGTTGAGCAGAGGTCAGATGCTACCCTGCAAGGAAGAGTTGAAATTGGATGAGGAGCTTTCCAATTGTCACTTTCAAGCACATTTCTTATTGGTAGCTGAACAGAATGGCACTGGGCTATGAACAACATACAGAACCAAAGAAATTTACAGAGCACAGAAGAAAGCCATTTGACTCATTTTGTCTGTGCTGATTCTTTGAAAACGCTTGTTTTATTGGTTGATATAACTATATATCTATATATAGTTGATATATATAGCTACACTCTCTGAGGAGACTCTTTATAAGCATTTAAATTCTTTAGAGTTTTTATCCCCCAGTTCCTCTCAGCCTAAGCATCATCTTGAACCAAAAAGGGAGTAAGCTTTTCCCCAAGTCTGCTAATGTTGGTCTAAGCCATCTCTCAGGAGATGCACATCCTTGTTAGGTTCTACTGGTTTCCAATTATTGAACCAATCGATTTCAAGATTCTCTCGCTCGTTTTCAAATCCCTACATGCTCTCGCTCCTCCTTACCTATCCGATCTGCTTATCCCCCACTCGTTGCCTCCCCTCAGCTGGCTCCGGCCTCCTCTTTGTCCCTCGTCCCCTCTGATCCACCATTGGTGGCTGTGCCTTCAGCCACTACCCTCTGAAACTCTGGAACACCCTCCCTTAATCCTTAATCCTTGGCCTTCGCCCTTCCTTCCCCACTTTCAAATCCCGCCTAAAAACCTTCCTTTTTGATCGTGCTTAAAGTCACCTCCCCACTCCCTCTCCCCCTGGATCTGGGTCAGATTCTGCCACCATCAAGAGCTCCAGGATGCCACCCCGTATGAAGGGCGCTATATAAATGCAAGTTGTTGCTGTTGTTGCACATGAGCTGCGAGAGATGGTTCTACTTTTCCTTAACTGTAATGACATGGTGGAGATTAGAAATTCTTTGATGTACAAATTCAAACCCTCATTCTGCCAATGCTATGGGGCAGTACACGAATACTTTAACACCCTTTTTTGTATCATGCCAGGCATTCTCCATTATCCACTCCTACAAGTATTATACAGTGGAAGCTGGTTAAGCAAGACAGGGACAGCCGTTTTGTCCGGTTTAAGAAGAGGTGACCGAGGTTAGCCGAGATATCATTCCCGCCCAGCAGAGGAGGGCCACCAACGCCATATAAAAATATGTAATAATGTTGCTTCTCTTGAAGCAATCTTAACTAACCAGACAGGACACCAAGTATTTTAACCTAGGAGATAAAGATAAAATCCTGTACTCTCATAGAATTTAGTAAAATGTATTAAGTTTGGTTTGGCTGCGCGCAGAGGAGTGGCAGTGCTTCCTCCCTCCCTCCCATTGCCGTTCCCATTAGATAGAAAGGGGGACCAATTAGCAATGGCTCGGAGGTGATTGACAGCCTGCAGCCACTCGTGGGCTCTCCAGTCATCCACAAGCGGCTCAGGTGGAAAGAATTGGTGCACAAAGTACTCTGCCCTGAGTAGCAGTCTTAGCCCATGCCAAGATTTATGCCAGAGACAACTAAGTGGCAAAGGACTACTCCATTATACTATGGCTACTCCTTACTGTATGACTAATATAGTTACATTTCTGCGTGCATCTGTAATGGGTTAGCATTGTCGTGTGGCTATACCAGCAAAAGTTCCTGGGACATAAACAATATTTGGGAATCCGCTGAAATTTATGCAGTCATGGGACTTCAACTCCGATGAAACTTTGGATCTTGACTTGAAGAAATTGCTATTTATGTCACAGACATGACATAGTCATTATGCCACATGAGCGCAGAATTGCTTATAAAAATGAAAAAGAATTTTGGAATCAAATAACAATGCGGCCCACACCAACTAGATATTAAGACCCCAGACAAAAAATTGCACCCTGAAATCATGCAAAGAAGTCTGACTTACTACCTAAGAACTAATAGGTGTGTACCAGCTTAAAAAGACCATCTGGCTGGTCTCAAAGCAAAGGACAAAATAAATAACTTTTTAAAAAAATCATGCATTACTCTTTCTCGAATATTCTTCAATTTAATTATTTGCCAAATAGTTATCTAATTCCCTCTTGAATTTGCTGACAAAATGTCCTCACACTACTTCAGTGAGTAGTGCCACAGATAAAGTTGTTAATACTAGGCAAATTTAAGCTTTCCTAAACCTGGCTTCCAGTATTGCCATTTCTGTAAGTGAAATGGTACTACATCACAGCAACTTATAGACCTCATAGAGCTCAGGGGCTTAATTTCCTGCCTGTTAACTCAATAATTGCACCATTTGATCTGTCTCTAAAATTACCATACAAGGAGCTGCGCACCATAATAACAGCTTAGGAATAACTTTGCAAAAAATAAGAAACTATCAAAAGTGGGTCAAATATCCCACACGCAGCAATTCTTTTTCTGAATCTAATATGTTTTACAGTACAAATTCTGATGGCGGTTATTGATACAGAAAGATCTATGACACAAAAACTATCTCAGTAGTGTAGGCCAATATTGCTTTAATATATTGAAGTAACTTTTTTTTACTAGTCTCTAACATCTGTGGGGGAAACACTTGACAATATTACACAAGATGCTATCAGTACTCATTGCATAAACTGTAAGGTGTGGTCACCGCAGATTTAGAAACAACCCAGCTTCTTAAATTCAATGAAATTCTTTTAGGAACTAACTTAAGCTAATGAATGCATTCAATGAATATAAATTATTTTTATTTTCAGAAGCCGTTTGACAGTTCCATGTTTGAGATGATTAAAGAAGGTTAAGGCTAATGAAATAAAATTTGTCAGCTTGATTGAAAAATTATAAAAAGCTGATAAATGGAAAATGATCTTCCTACCAGAAGTCTGTTCTGGAGCCTCTGCTATTCACATTGGGATACAGGGTACAAGGGAATAGAAAGAGAACAGGGTTGAAAAATAGGGGTACACAGGTGAATGAATATTCTGGTGTTTCAGTTTATTATCTTTGGGATCAGGGAATAGCTAGGGTGGAGAATCTTCTCACTCGGCTTCTTCTTACCCTGCAGGGGTGGTCCTAGCTGGACAAGCAGCTGGAGGCATTCCAGATAGACATCATAATGTTAAGCTGTGCATTTTTCAGCGAGTTAAATTCCAGCAGTATCCCAAACAACACTTAAGCATTAGCTCTTGCCAACTTGCATCTAATACACCCTGGAATTAGGTAAGCAGGTTGTTTCAGAAAGAAAGTGCCCACTCCATTCCAATCTAAGGGAAATTTCCAATGCACAAGTAGGACTTTTAATCTGATTTGGATACCAAAAATAGCAATGCGTTTCCATGTATATCAAACACCAAATTGACCAAAAGAAAACTTCCCCTGGATATCGAGTTGGTGAGTTCACAATAGGTCAGATTTTGTGTGCCCTGAGATAAGGAGAGGGCTTGAATTGGAATTTTGTTCATGCTCATAGAATCATGGAATCCTTCAGCACAGGAGGCCATTCAGGCCATCGGGTCTGTACCGGCTCTTTGAAAGAGCTATGCAAATAATCCCACTTTCATGCTCTTTCCCCACAGCCTTCCAAATGTTTTCTTTTCAAGCATATATCCAATCCTTTTTGAATTTTTTTATGTTCTTCTTAATAATAACTTACCAAGTCAGGTGACAAACCCAGTCCTCTCAGCTGCCTTACACTCTTTTGAGTTGGCTTTGTTTTCTGTTCTCCAGTCGATTTTGGCTTTAATAATATTAAAGAACAAAGAGATTAGTTCCCCACCCAAATTCAATGTGTTTGTGTTCAGGTATAAATGAGCACAAGCTGTTCATGCCAGTTCAGTCAAGCATCCGGCAAAATTTAGAGCTGTGATACATTGCAAGATTATGTTTAATTCTTTCTATTCGGCTAAACACAGATAGGTTCACTGCCCCTGAAATAATACTGTACATTCTCTGCTGTTCATCAAAGGGAAACTCAACCTGTGTGCTGTTAGTTTGGAAAAGATTATACAGGACAATCTATTGTCTGTTTATCTATAGTCAACATCTGTAGCTGATGTTGTACCATTGATTCACATCTTAATAACTCACATTAGTTACCAATTAAGTGGTTGGGGCAATTCTGAGTGGTAGATTTAACTATTTCAGAGCACTAAAGCCAAATCAGTTTGATCTTACCCATTTGAAATGCAATTTGCAATTAGAGGTGTTCCATCTCTTGTTGGTGATTTGTGTGTTACAAAACATAGATTGTTCCAGACTACAGACAGTGACTTTCCATAAGTAAGAACATAATCTATACTTTTGCTAAGAAGATAAGTTGTCCTCCTATTATACTTAAATTGGACAGTCAATAATCAGTAAGGTCTCTGAGCATTCTAAATTTTTGTATTGATTCATTGAATACCAAATTTATGTAGTGCTTCACACTTAGATGGCGAATTACCCTAATCTTGGAAGTGATTTGTTGCCAAGCATCCTACATAAACAGGGAATAAGAGAGTGCAAACCTTGCTGGAGTCTTGATCTTCGCCGCAAATGGACGAGATAGTACCAACAACAACAATTTGTCTTCCTACCGTGCCTAACCTCGGGAGAATGGCTCAAAGTGCTTTACACAGCTAAAAGGGCTGTGGAGGAGAAGGTGACCGAAAGCACAGTACAAAAGATAGGTCTTAAGGTGAGCTTTAAAGGAATGGTATGATTCATAATCACACAATATAAACATGTCCAGTGAATCACAATGGGCTCAACACCTCTGATAGCGGTTGTAGGTTTATTTTTATAGCCCCGTTGTGGAATATTGTAGTGGAGGAAATATAAACAAGAGCTCCACATTGCTTTACTAGCAGTAACAAAAAAGCTTATATTGCCTTCAAAATATACATTCATCTGTACCATACACATTATTTTCTGTTCAGTTCTAAATTTCAGCATTATAAAGAAAAGCATAATCCTTAAAAAGCATAATTTAAGAAGAAATCTCATATCAGGCAATGATGAAATAAAGTTTCATAGCAGCTAAAGACTGAGAATTAAATAGCTTGTTCTGTCCTTAAACTCGATAAGATATATGCTACAAAACATCACCGAAATTAAAACAGCAGGACTGATGACTTGCTGAAAATTATCTACTTCAAGTAATTTAGTTACTACAACATAACACTGCAGTGCAATTATTTACTCAAAGGTAAGTTCTGTCTCATGATTGAAGTCTCTGCTTGCAGTAAGAGTCCTACATGAAGTGTAAGTTTGGACAGACTCATTTCAACTCCTTATCTACCAGCTACCAGCATCTAGTGGCACGATTCCACAGCACAAATTGCTTAAGTTCTAGCATGAAATTGGAGAAAAAACACTTAGACCTTAAGAATGGCAAGCATCCAGTAGATGGTAAAATAATTTCAGGGCTAATTGGAAAGCAGAATAGTTGGATCTTTATTCTGCATGGAACACAATGTATTTTGGTTCAAATACCAAGCCAGCACTTTGAGCTCTTGGTTTAGGCTGATACTCCAGCACAGTGATGGTAAGGGGGATGGGCAGAATTTTTGGAGATGCTGTTTTTCAGATAAGATATTAACCAGAGCCACTGTCTGCCTCTCCACATGGGCATTAGGGAATCCATGGCACTATTTGAAAAGAGAGGGAGTTTCTCCCTATGTCCTGGTCAAAAATCCCCCCAGATACAAAGCTGGTCATTCACTTCCTGGATTACTGACTCGGAAGAAATCAACAACAACAACAAGATTACATTTGTATAGCGCCTTTCACGTCAGGAGGACATCCCAAGGCGCTGAAATAACTCATTTAGACGGGGAAGCAGTAGTCAAAGAGAGTCTGTTAATTTTTGCTGCACATACGGGTGATCCCAAAATTAAAACAACGGTAGATGAAATTGTGCTTTCCCGAAACACCATTATGAGAGGGATTGATGAGATGTCTAGTGATATGTCAAAGCAAATTATATTTTCTATCTCCATCAGCAAGTACTTTTCATTAGTACTGGATGAAAGTTGTAATTCTAGAGACACGGCTCAGTTACGTGTCTTTGCTAGGTCTATCAATTAAAATTTTGATGTAATTGAGGAACCTTAGTTTACGTCAGCTTGTTTCAACCACTGGAACGGATATTTTTGAAGAACTAAAAAAATGTATCAGAGACAATAAGCTTGACTGGTCCTAATCTGAGAGCATTTGGATAGACGGGGCACCTGCTATGACTGGAAAGAGGAATTGTTGTCCTACTTTGTTGGAAAAGTCTTCTCCACATTATATTATGTTTTTAATATATTTACTGAAATAAGTTGGGCCAGTGCTATAACAGGAAAGATACTTTTTGGACTTCTCCAAAATCGGGATTATCACTGAAATGAAAAACTTACTGTATTATAAAGTGTGACATTTCTTAGCAATACATACCTGAGGTACAAGGCTTACATGGATGTTGCAGAAATTTTCCCTTTTTGCTTTGAACTGGAATTGTCTGAATGCTTCCACAAATGGCATACTTTCTATATCCCCAATGGTTCCTCCTAACTGTCAAGAGAAAATATAAGGATTTACAAAATCGCAAAATTCCATTCTAATTTTAGCTATTGCCTTTAAAGTTTCAGAAGTAAAACAGAGGGCAATGGTAAAATAATGCTGGAAGATGAACCACTCTTCAAGCTTTTCTAATGTTAGCAAAAACAAACTACTGGTGCATTGTAGATGTTTTACCTTCTGTTTAATATCAGTAAGAATCCACCACAAACCTGTTTGTAACATGATTCTGATATACATGTTAAATATCTTGATTTTCCTCAATTCTCTACAACAACAAAATTACATTTGTATAGCGCCTTTCACATCATGAGGACATCCAAAGCACTGTACAGACAGAGCTTCGGACCCAAGCTGGGGGTTGGGGTCAGGGAGGGTGGAGGGCAGGGGGGTGAAGCAGGGAGATTGAAATTTCAGTCGAAGAGGAGGGTCGTCAGGTGGGTCTTGAAGGAGGCAAGGGAGGGGGCGAGTTGGAGGGACTGCGGGATGGAGTTCCAAAGGGTGGGGGCAGAGTGGCAGAAAGCCCGCCCGCCAATAGTGGGGCGAGTGAGGTTGGGGATGTGAAGCAGGCCGGAGCCCGCTGAGCGGAGGGAGCGAGCAGGATGGTAGGGGTTAGGAGATCGCAGAGGTAGGGGGAAGCAAGACCATGGAGGGCTTTGAAGGTGAGAACCAGGATCTTGAACTGTATCCTCTGCGTGATGGGAAGCCAGTGGAGTCGGGCGAGGATGGGGCTGATAGGGTCACAGAGTCTGGTAACAGAGAGGATACAAGCTGCAGAGTTCTGGATGATCTGCAGCCAGTGGAGGGAGGAGTTGGGGAGGCCGACAAGCGATGAGTTTGCATAGTCAAGCCTCAAAGTAATGAAAGCATGTTTGAGGGTTTCGGCAGCCTGCAGTGTGAGACAGTAGCGGAGCCAAGCATATAAACATTTGTGGCATATATTTCACGGCATTCTGGTGTCGCACCACTTTGCCTCTCCATTCCATCCTCTGAAACCTGCCTTAAGACCTATCTTTTCAATCTTCGGTCACCTTCCTCCTCCACCTGCTCCTCATCTCAGCTCCCCCCTCCCTCAGCTTCCCCCTCCCTCAGTTCCCCCATCCCTCAGCTCAGGCTCCCAGTCAGCTAGACAAAGCACTTTGACACATCCTCCCAACATGAAAGGTGGTATATAAATACAGATTGAGTTTTAAGTATGATAGTTATGACATATGCCACGAGCTATCATAACTATCACATTGGCTATTTACAGAATGTATTGGTTCTTTTTCCAAACTCACTTAATAAGTTTTCAAGAAGCTAAAAGTGATATTTCTCCACGAGCACTCTGAAACATCCTTCCGACGATGAAAGGCGCTATGTAAATCGTACTGTATGAGCACTAAAGACCCATTGGGCAGAAACATAAGGGTATCAAATCAGTGCCCACACACATTATCTATTCCACAAGTTATGTTCCATTAGTTTTTTACGGGAATAGAACCACAATGTTCCATAAATTATTATAAAATCTCATTATCCATCCAGCACCTCTTTAAAACAGTTCATTTGCACAATATTAATTACTTTCAATGGAATTCCATTTCACAGATTACCACTTTGGTAAAGAAATTCTTCTAATTTTGCTTGAGGCCTGCTAATTTGTACTTATGTCTTTCAATTTATTATACTTTCAGTTAAAAAATGTGGAAAGCATGCAAAGTATCTTATCTTGAACAGAAACCTTGGGCAAGTTTCCTTACTCTACACGATTGTTTACCTAGCAGTAAGTAAAAACCTGGTTGTGAGTCGATTGGAAAATCGCTTCCTGCAGATAATAATTAAAATTAACAAGTTGGGTCACTCAATCCACGAGTATTTGTGGGACTGTGCGCATTTGGTTGCTGTGTTTCACCCACAAAATATTCAGTCAATCCACTTTTCAATATATTCTGGGAAGCGCTTCGAGACATCTCAATGACGTGATAAGGCGCTATATCAAATGCAAGGATTAGTATTATTATGTCACTTAGTCAGCATTCGGATACACAACCCTTTACTGTTTTATGCTTCCCATCTTCATACCGTTCCTCAATCTAATATTTCCTTTGGACCTGTGATTACCTGTCATATAACTTCTTTGCACCTCTGACTTTCTCCCAATAATTCCCTTTGTACGTCTTTCTGTCAGTCTGGTATTTCCCATGTTCCTGCTATCTCTTAGTTTATGACTGTTCTGGAATTGTGTTTGTCCGAATTTCATCTTTTTCCTTTGTGTTTTTTTCTGCATTTCTTTCAGGATGCAACAACATCCTTCCCCCAAGTGTATGATTTTCTTGTGGTTGTCTCAATCTGAGTGCTGCTGAATCTGACAGATTAACGTGGTAAAAGCTGAGCATCACCTATTTCTTTGTCTATTAATATTTATTTTCCCTTCAACCAAAGGATTCTCACACCAAAACATTTATGAGATAGACTCAGATATAGTGTCTTTCATATCAGGAGGACGTCCCAAAGTGCTTCACAGAATTTACTGTAAAGTGAAGTAACTATGTTTTGTGGATGAATGAGACAGTCAATTTGCGCACAGCAATGTCCCACAAACAGCCATGAAGTGACTGACCAATATTATTTAGGAAATGTTGTCCAGGATACCAGGAGAAATTCCATTCTCTTTTTAAATAGTGCTATAAGATCTTTAAAATCTACCTGAATATGCAGACAGGACATTAACGTTTCACCCACAGGATAACACCTTCAACAACACAGCACACCCTCAGCATTGCATTGCAGTGTCAGCATAGATTATATGAATTCTAAGTACCAATAGTGGTGAATTGAAGCTCAAGAGGGATATTTTAAGTTGAACAATGCATAAATAGGCAAGCGCTCTTCAGTCTTGAGAGAAGATGACTTTGAAGGGAACTTATAGAGACCTTATAGAGGTGTATACAACTTTAATGGGATTGAAAAAGTAAACCCAGATCAATACTTTCGGATGTATCAAGACAATAGAGCAAGAAGGCATGGATTTAGAGTTGTAAAGGATAATTTCAGGACAGACACCTGGAACTTTTTCTTTAACTAAAGGGCATTCAATGAGTAGAACAGATTGCCAAGGAAGATAGTACAGGCTAGGCCGGTAGATTAATTTAAAAAGAATCTTGATACTGCAATGGAAGGACGGTAGGGTGGGTATTCTGGAGAGATGAGGTCAGATATTAAAACAGATAAAGGACAAATGGAAGGATGATTTCAAGCTGACATTCAGATAGGGGTTGAAAAATATCAAGGAAGACAAGAAAGAAGAATTACTTTAAAAATCCTACAGTGCTTTCAAAGATAATCTTCATATATGTATTACTCATACCTTAATGGCTCAGAGAACACTTCATGTCATAGAAATTGTGGTTTACAATGTGATGGGATAACATTGTTGGGTTTACAATTCATTTTCACTATTGAATAAATAAATGCAATGGGGACATCCAGTGGACAAATATCAATGACATTTTGTTCCAGAGAAAAGGTTTCAAAGCAATACACCTCCAAGATAACCCTAATGTTATCCAAAATCAACCCACAACTTGATGATTCTCATCTCTAAAAGTCATTTCTCACAAATGGATGAAGTCCAGTGGTAATACAGAATAATTTCATGAAGTGTTACATCCACTGTAATTTTTTTCAATTGGCAATCTACTATTGAACTTCCATTGGACAAAGTCACCGCAACATTGAACAGCAAGCATCTTAATATGTCCATCTCCATATGTTCAGTTTCTGTCTAACTCTGAATGGAACCACACTATAATATTCTTTTCGTTATGCATTGGAAATGCTGAGGGACTTGTCGATTCCATGATTCACTCCATATGTAATTGAATATATGTGAATGCTGATTATCTTTCATGTACTTTGGTTATATAAATGTTCAAATTTGAATGCAGTAGGCCCCTTTGTGTAACATGCCTTAACCAGTCATTTAAATTTCAAAATGACAATGCAAATACCTCATAGTTAATTTCCCCAGCAAAATGGCACAGATTAGTATATAATATTTATTTTATACACATATATATACATTACTTAAATAAAGCAACTTAAAACAAGTGAGGTATTACTTCCAAGACTGATTCAAATCAAACAAATTTGTAGACTTTTAAGTGATACTATTTAAAAATAATGAGAGCAGATGATGAAAACAAGTCCATTATAAACTAAGGGAAACAATGCAGGAAACTTTCTTTTGGGAGTTTGAATATTAATATATAGAGCCAAGCAAACTCAATATAATATATTGCATCACTGTCAGCGATTAATGAAAACAACAGTGGAAAAACAGCAGCACTGAGAATCCTCCTAACCGCAAACCAAAGATTCTGATGATGATATTTCTTAAATAACAGGACAAGAGATATTTTTTCATGAAGCCAGAATGATGGATTCAACACATGATGAAGCGAACAATGCATGTCTAAATGTGGATTATTCCATAAAAGTAATATCCCTGCATTTGATGTAGCATCTTATCATGCATCAAGACGTCTCAAAGCGCTTAATATATCCTGTAAAGTGTAGTGGATTGTATATTTAGTGGGTGAATGCAGCAGCCAATTTAAGCAAAACAATGTTCCACAAACAGCCATGGAGTGAATGCCCAATTTAATTGGGGGATTGTTTGTCAGGACACCAGGATAAGTTGCCCCCACCCCCTCTTTTCTTTTCAAATCCTGCCACGGGAGCTTTAAAGTCCACCTAGAGAGGAAGGTGGTGGATCGGTCTAACGTCTAATCCGAAGGACTGAATCTATAACAATGCAGCACACCCCCAGCACTGGCATTGGAGTGTCAGTATAGTTTTCTGACTCAGATGCAAGAATGCTATCAACTGAACCAGATGACACCAGACGTATGGGAGTTCAAATATTAATATATGGAGCCAAGTAAACTCAATACAATATAGTGCATCACTGACAGTGGAAGAACCAGCAGCACTGAGAATTATTTAATGGC